GTATGACCCATCCACCACCACCCTCTGAGTGCGACCCCTCAGCCAATCTGCAATCCATCTGACTGTGTAGGCATCTATGCCACAGTCGCCTAGTTTTTTAACTAGGATGGGGTGAGAGATGGTGTCAAAGGCCTTGCTGAAGTCCAGAAAGACTACATCCAACTAGGCTTGAGAACAACTGATATTTTCTGTTCTAAGAACAAGACACACAATTCCATTTTTCCCAGTTTGCAAATTTCTATTCGACACCACACAACCACCACCACCACCACCACCACAACTCAATGTTATGCCATAAAACAAAGACTCATTCCATTGTTGTACACAGCTGGGGATGGGCAAAGGGAAACAAATCTAGCGTATAAATTGGAGGCTATAGCTGAGATAATTGCTTGCTGATAAGGAGAGAATCCAGCTTCCCCTTAACTATCGTTTCATAAATTAATAATTTGTTAAAATCATAATCACAAGGATTTAGCTATTACACAAAATTCAAGTTTTAAAAAAACAAGAATAAATTAGTTACAGCCTTGTAAACAATTGTTCATTTGTGTAACGTACTTGAAAAAAAGTTCCTCAGTATACTAAGTCAGACAGGACAAGGCACGCATTACACTTAAGATCCAAAGTGATAAAATCAGGTGATGCCTTCATCTTCCTTGTTCGCTGGTGGAATTGTGCTATTGGACACTGGAGAAATGCACGGGATTTTGTTTATATTAGTCATTTGAATGTCTTCCATGACAGCACTCTTACTGCTAAAACATTTGTGCTATTTTGTAGTGTAGTACATTTCAAATAAGCTGAACTGAATCTTCTCAGATGTTCTCTACAAAGCTGCCAGGAAAAAGGCCTGTTTTTCCATTTCGTTGCAGTGTGCCTTTGAACCAGCCATCCTCACGTTTTTTGTGTACAAAAACTATGTCCCCTTCTTTAAGTTCAAGTTCTGCTTCACTCTGAGGAGGATAGGAGACCACAACCCTGTATCTGTACAATAAAAAATGCGTTTTAGTTAAGGGTTTTTAGTTTTGGGCTTGCGAAATTTAGAAAAAAAACTCCTATACTTGTTACAACTTATCAGAAGAGGAAACTGCCTGAAACTGAGCAAATAAATAAAAAATAAACCTTATCTTGGAGACAAAACAACAGTAATAAAAGAAATCCAAGTCACATGTATACAGGATGTCTTTTATCGTAGAGTCTTTCAAGGAGATCCCTGTAAAGATTTATACGACAATTGTGGCAAGAAATGGGAACAAAATGTAAACACATTTTTAATATAACTGTGCTGTTTTCTTCCACCTGGAGTAAATCAACAGTAACCAATCCTAATGTGTGCACAGCAGCCATTCTACTTAATTTCCCCACTGCTTAATATAGTGCATATTTTAAACAAATAAGCAAACAAAGCATGAAAAAAGAAAAACAGAACCCCCCTCAAAAAAAAACCCAACACTACTTGAAAAGCATTTAATGTATAACTTGTATTTTTGTCTGCCTTTCTAGAAACCATTTTCAGGATGAGGGCATGCTGCTATTTTTATTTAGACCAGCGGTTCTCAACCTTTTGCACCTTACATCCCACCTACGTAAGGTCAAAAAATCGTGGTCCTACTGGTTGAAGAGCAAGGGGGGGAGGGGAGAGTCCCCAGAGGCCAGTCCAAGACTGGGGGGGAAGGGGGGAGGTCCCCATTGGCCCACCATGGCACTTCCAGTTTCGCCGCCACGACCCGAGTCCCACCTAGAGGGCCTTCACATTCCACCGGTCCTCTAGGGTTGAGAAACCCTGATTTAGATAGTACCTTGTACATTTTGGGAGCTAAAAAGGTCAAAGGTCCACCTGAATCCCACAGCCTATAGTGGTCAGATGGTTAAGGCACAGCAGTTTCTGTAACCAGCAACAGACAAGCTTATCCAACAGCTCTCCCAACTATACCGTTGGTCCAATAAAAGATACTGCCTCAACTACAACAGAGAATGCCGAGAAATTCAGAGTAAATGTTGACATGCTAGCTGTAGCTCACCTTATTTTGTTTAGTACCCAATTCACAATGGCTAATTTTGCATGCACTACCTGCATGCAAAACGGGTTCCATTTACACAGATGCTGTTTCAGCACATTTTGCCTTTTTAAAGGTTAAAGAAAAACAAAAACTAAATATGTACAACAAAATCAGATTCTTCAGAGAAGTGTGCCAACACAGTAAGTTGGACTTTTTCAAGGTCTCTTGGAAAAATGTTATTCCTTTAAAAAAAGGGTGGTACAGATCAGGAGGCGACAAGAAGCCGAGAAGCGACGAGAATGAATCACTTGTCAAATTTTATATACCTATTGATGTATGAATAAGAGCCACCTCTGAGCCAATTAGAACGAGAATGGTTCCTTTAGAACTTTGTGGATTTACTTGATTACATGTTGGAAAAAGAAGTACCATATTTACTTGCATAAAACACACATTTTCCCTCCAAACCAGCTCAGGGAAATTGGGTTGCACTTTATATATGAGAGATACAGATCCCCAGAGGTCCAGAAATTTGGTTGTAGGCTAGACTAGTGACAGTGATAATCACTGCAGGTTTGGGAGCCACAACAATTAATGCTGCCACTACTCCCCTGATTCCAAATTTCCAGAGCCCTGAGGTGCCCTCCAGCCAGGTGACATGGCCAGTCCCCACCCAGACCTAGTGCAGAGCTCTGGACCTGGCAAGCGGGATTATCTCATGGCTGGATGTAAAGCACAACCCCAGACCTGGTGCATAGGGTTGAATCGAGCATGCAGGGTCAGGCTGCGGCCCCAGTCCCAGATCAGACAGGTGCACAGAGTCAGTCTGCAGCCAAACTTGACACATGGCCCCAGACCCAGCATGTCAGATCACTTGACACATGGCTCCAGCATGTTAGATCAGGGACGAATGTGTGGGGCTGGCAACAAGCTCAGTAGTTCCCTAGCTGCTGCTACTCCATCACTTAACCAAAGTAAGATTTCTTTTTCCTCATGCTGCCTTTTCAAAAACAGGGTGCGTTATATTCTGACATATAATATATATGAGAAAATATGGTACTCTGGCTATAACCAAACACTCCCAGTTTGTAGCTCAAGCCCAATTTTACTGCTAAATTATCCTCCCCTTACAAGTTAGGCTTATGAGAGAAACTCTGATAAAGCAAGATTGCTAGGCACACTTAAGCCAAAGTTTCATAAAGGCTGATATTTACCAGACTAAATGGCACCGTTTGCATTAACTTTCACTTCTGGCAACCTGGCATCAAGTCTTGACTTAGGACGTAAGAAGAAAATGTCTGTTTATGGATACATTTCTATAATGGACCATGATGTAACCTCTGGACTATTTGGCAATACTCAGGTCATGGCTCAGCTCAGGTCATGGAGTTCAACAGGAAGGCTATTTGTTTGTCAAGGAAAAAGCTGAAAGCCAGAAAAGATCTAGCATCACCCCTGGCTATACTTGGTATTGATACATCCTTTCATTTTCACAGGCAATGAACTAATTATTAAATAGCTGTGTTTAGCCTAGACACTAGCTTAGTGCCTTATGCATATACACACAGTACGAGCTGAATCATATTCAAAAGGAAAGTACTGAAAAATGAATCCCAGTCAAAGCACGTGCATGCCTTCTGTTTGGACCCAGTACTACACTTCCCTATAAATATTTGTTCAACTTAGAATGATCTCGGTTGCAGCTTCCAAAGCTGTGTAAAAAACTGTAACCTGAGCACAAAGAAATCTTCCTGTTCTTTCTCTAGTTCAATTTTTGATTTCTGGTCCGTAAGCCTGTTACTTCACAGCTTTGCAAGTGTTCACTTTCTCTACTCCTTTAAATTGTCAGTCTTTGAAAGAAGACTTTCCCAGGCTTTCCTTATATTTTGAATTCCCTCATCTTTGCTTTAGACTACTTGCCTTTGCTGCTCTGTATCTTGCCAGATACTCTGACATTCATCTTATAATTTAGTGCCTGAGATAGTATATGCTATTCCTTTTGTTTTAAATGGACATATTACCCAATTTACTCTCATATTCACAGAAATCTTTCCCCCCTGCCAAAATTAGGCTGTGTGTCTTGGGAAGCTGATTTTTCTTAGCTGGAATAGAAATATGCAGACACTATACTCCAATGGCTTCTAAGGTGGCAGCCACTTGTCTCTTGCCCAACAAGCAGAAGGGATAGAGTCCTGTGTAACACCACAGTTGTAGCTACTGGCTGTAGCCTGTGCATGAAAGAGCAATTGAGCTGCTGCATGTGGTCTGTAATATCTTGATGAGGCTTGTGGTGTGGTAGAAATATTTCGTTACAGGAACTTATCTAAACAACTATTAATGAAGAGATAGTGAAGTAGTGACAGTCTTGCTACTGGTCTTGCAAGGGTCTGGTGCCTAGCTTTGTTGCTGTTCTGTTACACCAGGAAGTTGCTGCTGCCTCATCTCGACCGTCTCCTGGGGTACCACACTCCCTCAATATTCTGTTTCCAGGAAGAGTTGCACCATGTCACACAGTTGACCACAACTCTTTTCTTCTATATCCTGCCTTCTAAAAACATTATGCATCTTATTTGGAAGCGTGTGCTATGCAAGAAAATATGGTACTATGCATCTTAAACTGAGCAAGACATCTGTCTGTCAGTGTTCATTAGAATCAAGCTTCTCTTTTTATGTAATGACCTGCCCCCGCAACTTCATATGATTTTTATATATTTCCCCTGTTCAACTCGATTATGTAGAACCAAGTTTAGAATCACCATAAAACCACATGGATGTCCTGTAGTCAGTCTCCTAAATAGCTGTGTAACCAAGCACTTTCATAATAAATGCTGTATTTCAATACACTTGTTAACTTCAAAGACTTTGTGATGTCCAAGTACATCATAGAATCATAGAAGTAAGGTCGGAAGGGACCTTGTAGATCTTCAAGTCCAGCCCCCAGCCTGGGCGGGAGAAAAGACTGGACTCAAATGAGTCCAGCCAGGTAGTCATCAAGCCTCTTCTTAAAGATCCCCAGGGTAGAAGCCAGCACCACTTCCCTTGGAAGTTGGTTCCAGCTCCTAGCCGCCCTAACTGTGAAGTAGTTCTTGCGGATGTCTAATCTAAATCTACTCTCTAATAATTTGTGTCCATTGTTCCTTGTCATGCCAGGGGGCGCTAGGGGAAACTGTCTCCCCTAAACCCTTCTGGTCCCCCCTAGTGAGTTTATAGACAGTCACCAGGTCCCCCCTCAGCCTTCTCTTGTGAAGGCTGAACAGGTTTAGGTCCCGCAGTCT